TGGCTTATTTCACTTAGCATCACACTCTCCAGTTCCATCCATGTTGCTACAAAGGGCCATATTTCGTTCTTTCTCATTGCCATGTAGTACTCTGGAAAGCAGTGTGGAGGTTCCTCAGAAAATTAAAAATAGACCTACCCTATGACCCAGCAATAGCACTGCTAGGAATTTACCCAAGGGATACAGGAGTACTGATGCATAGGGGCACTTGTACCCCAATGTTTATAGCAGCACTCTCAACAATAGCCAAATTGTGGAAAGAGCCTTAATGTCCATCAACTGATGAATGGATAAAGAAACTGTGGTTTATTAGACCTCATTTAAATGGACAATGAGATTTATAACCCGAAGCAGCTTTATTCTTTTTTTTGGGTACTTAGTCTGATAGAGCTTTAATGGCTTTTCAGCTTCATACAGTGTATTTAGCTTTAATTTCTGGTTTTTGTATAGTACAGATTAAGTCTGAGGTGTAGAATACTAAGCCCTCAAATTATATTCTGCTTCTCAGAAATATTTGCTTATTGTTGTCTTTATGACACAAAAAAAAACTTGCTGGTGATTAGCAAATATTTAAATAAAACCACTCCCCATCAATTCTAAGGTTGTACAGTTTGTAACACTGTAGAGCAGCTAATCCAAAATGACTAAAATTTGGCCGTTGCCAGTAATGCAGAACTGTGAGATTCTCATTCTGGAGGCACTCAAGTGTCTCAGCTGACTGGGGATTTTCAAATTGCCTGATTAATTTAAAAATTCTGCTTCTTTGTACCTTTCTGGAACAACTCAGATTTCTTATCCTCAGTCATTAACTACTTTGAACCACTCAGCCTTTTTCTCCCTTAATCCAAAATCTACCTCCATACATAATTCTGTAGAAAGGTTGCTTAAAAATAACATAACATTCAAACATTAGAACAGCTGGGTGTCTTTAATTTTGGAAAAGTATTACCTTCACATTCTAAAGCAGCACAAAGCTGTTCAAAATTATGTGCTCCTCAGGGTCATATCATATTTAATATTTTTAATTTGCAACTATTTAAAAACATCTTTCAATATTTAGCATTAGTTTCTGTGTTTAAAGAACTGTTACCAGGGGCGCCTGGGTGGTGCAGTCGGTTAAGCGTCCGACTTCAGCCAGGTCACGATCTCACGGTCCGTGAGTTCGAGCCCCGCATCAGGCTCTGGGCTGATGGCTCAGAGCCTGGAGCCTGTTTCCGATTCTGTGTCTCCCTCTCTCTCTGCCCCTCCCCCGTTCATGCTCTGTCTCTCTCTGTCCCAAAAATAAATAAAAACGTTGAAAAAAAAAATTTAAAAAAAAGAACTGTTACCATCCATATACATTAATGTGACTACAATGAAACAAACAAACAAAAACTAATCTTACTTCAGGCCAGGGTCTGTTTCTCCATATTCATCCAAATAAGGGGCTGGATAGGCACAGCCTCTGGCTTTACCTTCAACCAGAACTACTCTGCATTCTCGGATTCTGAAGGACAAAAGAACCAAGAGGAAATATTATTAACTGCATGAGTGCAAATGATAGGCACTGCATCAAAGTTAATCTAGAGAAAAGATATGGCCAGTATCTGTCAGGAATTCAGTATAAAGACAGTAAACATAGACAAATAGACTAAACTGTGTTTTGTCTAAAAAAAGACAGTGAATATTGTTATTTTTATTGACATTATGGGAAAAATCAATGGATTTAGGGAAACAGGACCATTAATACTGACTGAATATACTGAAGAGAGGAAGGAAGCTGTCCTACTTGAACCACAGATACCATGGAAAATGATGGCCAGTGTTGTTTCTGTTCTGTTTCCTGACCCACGATCTGGAGTGGGAGGGAGCTAAACAGAAGCACAGAACAATATCTGATAACTTTGGGCCAGAAAAGAACGTCAGCTAGGCAAGTGTTAATTAAGCCTTTTCTGGTCAGAGCCAGCCTCCAATAGTGCAAATTATGAAGAATCACTGCCACTTTGAAGGTACTTGGGACTCTTACAGTAGAGAAATGAAGACATACAAATAATGTTTGGGTATGTGTATACAGAAGGGATAGGTACTATAGAGTGACATTACAAAATAAGCAGTTGGAATAGGTAGTGGGTTTATTTGCTATAGGTTCCCTAAAAGAAGAAAATAGGTATTTGGATGTGGCTTCCATGCATTCATTCACATTTTCCAACAGATGCCTACAGGCAATGGTTAGGGAGACGTGGGCTTACATAAACAGAAACTACAGTACATGGGGAGATGGAAAGAAAAAGCACACGCATCCACTTTGAATTTTCTCTCTCAGGCAACTTGTACTCTTTCATAAACATGAAATAACTATGTTCCACTCTCAGTCTTTTGCAGAGAGACCAGGGAAAACAACAGTTGCTTTGATAGAGGAAATGAAGAAAATGAAAATATTCAAAGGACAACTTAAAATAGCAATGTACAGGTACTTTTTAAATATACTTGTTTTTAGGACTCCAAGCCCTTTCATTGTACCTGAGTGTTCTGTAACACCAGAGTAATCAATGCAAAGTCTATCATGCTTAAGACATTTCACAAAAAAATTAACATGTGGACAGAATCCTATGGGTTTTTTTGTTTGTCTGTTTTGATTTGGTTTTTTTTGTTTGTTTTTGTTTTTTACTTATTCTGTAATATCTTCTCTAATGCAATTTCATGTGATCATTTCCTATCAACACACTATCCTACCATAATAGCTTCCAGATTGGATCTAGATTCCCTAAATTCATTATGAAGATTCCAAAACACTCACTACTCACTTTAGGAAAATGCAGACTCCAGCTCCACAGTGAAGTGCATGAAAAATGCAAGCTCCAACCTCTTCCCCATTCACAATTTCTTGGCAGCAAATGTTCTGAGAACACAGTATGGCTCCACAGAAAAGACAGAGGACAGGGTGCTTTCGTTCATCATCTGCAGACCGTGGGCACCTCAAAGGGAAAGAAAACAATCAGTGTGGTGGATAAACAATAAAAGCATGACATATCCAGTTAGCAATGAAATGTGTTCATCACTGGCTGCTTTGTAGCAAACAAAGATCCTAAAATACAAGAAAACATTTAATTAGGTGATTCTTCTTTAATAAGGACGTAACAAAACAATCTCCTGATTAAGAAGATTTACTATTAAGTATATAGTGTCCTGATAATTCCATAGTTTGGCCATTAAATATGCCTCACTGACATTGTGATACATTTATAGAATCTAGTCTTCATCTGACATGACCAACTTACAGTCAGCTCCCTCCTCTGGATTGGTTTAGTCAAACTTATGTCCTCAATATCAGAGGAATATGACCTTTTTAGGTGTACAATTTTTTTTTTTTTTTAATCACAATGTGCAGTAAGGGTTCAGACACATTTCCTGTCCATTTAAGTATTGAGATCTTTAGGGCTGAAATGAGAGACTGTAGTCTCAAAGTTGATATACCCTCCATCTGGGAAACAAAGCAAGTCTTTAGGAAGGAAAAAGTGACAGAGTTGACTTGCTTGAACCAAGCAGTACTTTGAGATCTGCCATTTTATGTAGTAGTATGCTATAGCCTTGCTACAATGCCCCCCAAAGGAGGTGGATCATTCTCTGAATTAAAGTGATAATGGCCACTCTGGAAAAAAGGAGCTTTCCACCCCTATCTCTGCCTTACAATGGACATAACAGAAACATCCAGAATTCCTTTATTTGGGCAGTAAAAAAATAAATGCAACCACTAAGCTGAGATCCAATGAGGTCAGAATAAAGAGCACCAAAATAATCTCCAATAGGGCATTAACAGTTTATTCTGATCCCTTGTTTTTCAGCGAAGATAAGAAAACCACCACCACTGTCTACTAGGAGCAGAAAGACTCTGTGCATAGATATTCCACCCATCTTCTGTAGATGAGGGGACTATTTCACTTCTAGGGGAAAGAATATAATTATAGCTCTTTTTGGATAAAGCTAGTATCTTTCACCTTTAGTTAAGGATGGCTGAGTCCTAGTCTCTAGTATCCTACAGAGGAAAATAAAGGTGATACCTAAAGTATAGTAACCAAGCAGCTTACCCTCCTATGGCAGAAATAGCTCAGTCTTTTTTTTTTTTTTTTTTTGAGAGAAGGCGCAAGTGAGTGAGGGGCAGAGAGAGAGAGAGAGAGAGGGAGGGAGAGGGAGGGAGAGAGTGGGGGGAGAGAGAGAGAGAGAGACAGAGGGAGAGAGAAGAGGAGCTCACCTGACAGGGCTCGAGCTCACCAGAAGTTGGGCTCAAACTCAGGAACCACAAGATCATGCCCTGAGCCGAAGTCAGATGCTTAACCAACTGAGCCACCCATGTGACCCAGTCTTTTATTTATTTTTTAGGTTTATTTACTTATTTTCAGAGACAGTTTATGTCCTCAATATGACCTTGTTAGGTATACAATTAAAAAAAAATTTTTTTAATGTTTACTATTGTGAGAGAGAGACAGAGAGACAGAGCACAAGTAGGGGAGGGGGCAGAGAGAGGGAGACACAGAATTCAAATCAGGCTTCAGATCTGTAGCTGTCAGCACAGAGCCTGATGTGGGGCTCAAACCCATGAACTGTGAGATCATGACCTTAGTCAAAGCCAGATACTTAACTGACTGAGCCACTCAGGTGCCCCCAATTTTTTTTGTTTTATCATGATGTGCAGCAAGGGTTCAGACACATTTCCCATCCATTTTGTTGAATGTGGGTAGAGA